GAATAAGGTTGAGGTCCAGATGAAAAGAACCGCCCCATTTCCATTTTCACTGTCTTTTCAAGCGGATGTCGTATATCATGAAAGCACAACAGTGGGATGAACAACACAGGTAGTGTAACTAAGCACTTAAGTTTAAAATAAATGCATTAAAGTAGCTAATTATACTTTATAGGAAGAGAAAATGTTTTCTCATGTCCTGAAAAAATGGGTGATAGGTAATTTAAAATTTTGTGGATATCCAAAATTTGGTTGCCTATTTTTTTCTTTTGAATTTTAGAATTTTATTTATTTTTTTTATACAGCAGGTTCTTATTAGTTATCCATTTTATACACATCAGTGTATACATGTCAACCCCAATTTCCCAATTCATCACACCGCCCCACCCCCCACCATTTTCCCACCTTGGTGTCCATACGTTTGTTCCCTACATCTGTGTCTCTGTTTCTGCCCTGCAAACCAGTTCATCTGTACCATTTTTTCTAGTTTCCACATATATGCGTTAATATACGATATTTGTTTTTCTCTTTCTGACTTCACTCTGTATGACAGTCTCTAGATCCATCCACGTCTCTACAAATGACCCAATTTCATTCCTTTTTATGGCTGAGTAATATTCCATTGTCTATAGGTACCACATCTTCTTTATCCATTCATCTGTCGATGGACATTTAGGTTGCTTCCATGACCTGGCTATTGTAAATAGTGCTGCTGTGAACATTGGGGTGCATGTGTGGTTTTGAATTATGGTTTTCTCTGAGTATATGCTCTGTAGTGGGATTGCTGGGTCATATGGTAATTCTATTTTTAGTTTTTTAAGGAACCTCCATACTGTTCTCCACAGTGACTGCACCAATGTACATTCCCACCAACAGTGCAGGAGGGTTCCCTTTTCTCCACACCCTCTCCAGCATTTGTTGTTTGTAGATTTTCTGATGATGCCCATTCTAACTGGTGTGAGGCGATACCTCATTGTAGTTTTGATTTGCATTTCTGGTTGCCTATTTTAAACATGCTGAGCTGAAGTTTGAAAAAGCTGTCCAGTTCCAGAGCTCAATTCTTCACTGTTACTCTCTATGGTCTCTTAATATAATTAAGGAGATAATAGGAGCATTGTTTTGCCAGGAGGGGTGGAAATTGGTGAAGAAAGGGTTAGGCTACCAAATAATAAATATGTTAACAGCTCCACAACCCAAAGAGCCTGGTATTGGTCAGCGAAAGATAGACTCATTTTACAATTAAAAAAAAAAAAAATCCAAAAGTAGACAACAATATATGTCTGAGAATTTAGGGGAAAAATAAATTGCATCCTATCTGTCTCCTTTCTGCCCAGCACATTATAGGAGCTCAATAAATGTGTTGTTATTGAATCACATTCAGATTGTTCAAGATTTAAATGGAAAACTAAAACTACATTTAAGGTTTCGATAAGCAATTTTAGATAAGTATTTCTATCATCTAAATACTGGAGAAAAGCTTCCTAAGCAGAGTATCAAAACGATGCCATAGAGGAATATATTGATAAGTTGACTACTAAAAAGTATAAAACTTGTCCAAGTCTGAGCATACAGAGTCTTATATAAATAACCCCAAGATCTTGTCCTCAAAAAAAAGTCTCATTCTGGAGACTTGAATAGACACGCATAAAAAATATAAATAAAAATATAAAATGAAAACTTAGGATTCTGTCACTGATTAAATATCTACAAAGTGCCTACAGCACTGGGATGAGCTTCATCAGACCAGATTAGTCCAGTATGCAAAGAGGATCATATTTCTGTAGAGACAAAACCTTCCAGCAGCTTTAATTCCTCATGAAACCTCAGACCACATGCAACCATTAGCTGAAGTAAACATGATGAGAGAACAAGCATCAGAATTGTCAATAAATTCTGCAAAGTTGAAATCTAAGCCATCAGTTTCAGTAATTCCCAGAAATAACAGCCAGATCTAAACACTGTGTAGTTTTGTGATTTTACAGTTGAGCCAGTGCAAAGGTTTTAGGAATTTAAAAAATCATGTAATTGATGTCTCATACACAGACACCATTGTATCTAGTTAGCTTTTAAAAATGTTCATTCAGCCTCAGTGAAATACCATCAAAGAATTTAGGATGGAAAAACTGCATAGGAATCAAGGTCAAGTGAAAGCCCTAAATAACTTCTAAGAGACTTGCAACACCCTGAACAAATATAATCTGGTCGTTCCGTCTCGCTGACTGACCTCAGCACGTGAATAAGGCCAGCTTTAAGCAGCTGAAGTGGTGTTTACTTTTGTCCGGAATCTATACCCTAATTGTAAATTTGCACTTTAATTTGTAGTAACCCCAAGTAATAGGATATTTCCATGTCGAAGTGGGGCCCATAAAGAACGTTGTAGGCATGGGTTTGAATTGGGGGATCCCTGAGATCTATCCTAGTGAAATTGATGTTCTAATCTGTGCATCAGCCACAGTGGCATGTCGAGTAGGCCCACTTGGAGTTGATATCAAATCCTTATTAAAGACCCCTTACAGGGCTTCCCTGGTGGCGCAGTGGTTGAGAGTCTGTCTGCCGATGCAGGGGACACGGGTTCAAGCCCTGATCTGGGAGGATCCCACATGCCGTGGAGCAACTGGGCTCGTGAGCCACAACTACTGAGCCTGTGCGCCTGGAGCCTGTGCTCCCAACAAGAGAGGCCACGAGAGTGAGAGGCCCGCACACCGCGATGAAGAGTGGCCCCCGCACAACGATGAAGAGTGGCCCCCGCTTGCCACAACTAGAGAAAGCCCTCACACAGAAACGAAGACCCAACACAGCCAAAAACAAATTAATTAATTAATTAATTTTTTTAAAAAAAGACCCCTTACAGGGCAGAAGACCTAAATAGACATTTCTCCAAAGAAGATATACAGACTGCCAACAAACACATGAAAGAATGCTCAACATCATTAATCATTAGAGAAATGCAAATCAAAACTACAATGAGATATCATCTCACACCAGTCAGAATGGCCATCATCAAAAAATCTAGAAACAATCAATGCCGGAAAGGGTGTGGAGAAAAGGGAGCACTCTTGCACTGCTGGTGGGAATGTGAATTGGTACAGCCACTGTGGAGAACAGTACGGAGGTTCCTTAAAAAACTACAAATAGAACTACTATATGACCCAGCAATCCCACTACTGGGCATATACCCTGAGAAAACCATAATTCAAAAAGAGTCATGTACCAAAATGTTCATTGCAGCTCTATGTACAATAGCCCGGAGATGGAAACAACCTAAGTGTCCATCGTCGGATGAATGGATAAAGAAGATGTGGCACATATATACAATGGAATATTACTCAGCCATAAAAAGAAACGAAATTGAGCTATTTGTAATGAGGTGGATAGACCTAGAGTCTGTCATACAGAGTGAAGTAAGTCAGAAAGAGAATGACAAATACCATATGCTAACACATATATATGGAATTTAAGGGAAAAAAATGTCATGAAGAACCTAGGGGTAAGACAGGAATAAAGACACAGACCTACTAGAGAATGGACTTGAGGATATGGGGAGGGGGAAGGATAAGCTGTGACAAAGCGGGAGAGAGGCATGGACATATATACACTACCAAACGTAAGGTAGATAGCTAGTGGGAAGCAGCCGCATAGCACAGGGAGATCAGCTCGGTGCTTTGTGACCACCTAGAGGGGTGGGATAGGGAGGGTGGGAGGGAGGGAGATGCAAGAGAGAAGAGATATGGGAACATATGTATATGTATAACTGATTCACTTTGTCATACAGCAGAAACTAACACACCATTGTAAAGCAATTATACTCCAATAAAGATGTAAAAAAATAATAATAATAAAAAATAAAGACCCCTTAGCAAAATAAAGACTCCTCAGCAAGAGACTGTGCCTCAGAGTGTCATGAAGAACAGGGACAATGACCCAGATAACTCAGACTGAAGAAAGGTACCACTTCTGCTTCAAAGTGTCCAGTAAGACACTTTGCGGTGAGAGTATTAGAGAGCGGAGGTAAAACCATCCTGGAATGAACCATACAGCCTCTATCCTCCCTTTGCTTGGCGTGAGAATACACAAACTGTCTATATTGAATTAGGTAAAATAAGCAGAATATAATTCTGAGACCATTATTTTATGTTGGCGGGTCGTATTAGAGCTTGTTAAGAAGACTCCTTTGGCAGAAACAGACTCACAGATATAGAAAACAAACTTGTGGTTACCAAAGGGGAGACAGAAGGCGGCAGAGACAAATTAGGGGTATGAGATTAACAGATACAAACTACTTACTATGTATACAATAGATAAGCAACAAGGACGTATAGTATAGCACAGGGAATTATAGTCATTATCTTGTAATAACTCATAATAGAGCATAACCTATAAAAATGCAGAATCACGATGCTGTATGCCTGAAACTAATATAATGTTGTAAATCAACTATGTTTTAATACACTTTGGGGTTGCTTTCGGTACTCACTGTAGGAGAAAACTGCCTTGGGAGTGATTAGTAGAAATCTGTAATTGAGTACCCCTCGTGTCCATGGGAAAGAGAGAACTCACAGACAGATGACATAAAACTGGGCATTTTATCCTTTGCCATGGGGTACAAAGTGCCTTTTCCCCTCCTCGGGGGGAATCTGTGAAATGCAACATAGAACTGTAACCTAGGCTGGTTGGGAAGGGTCTACCCTTTACTAGACCAGGGTCAACACCACCTTAGGGGGCTAGAAAGTAGCACCATCAGGACCTCGCTGGTACCAAAATCACGAGTTTGTTTTAGGTTCTTTTCTCATATACAAGATAGCAGCATCCCAAGGTAGCTGAAGAAAGAGAAAATTCAACTCCATTTCGGGCTATTAGATCTGAGAATTAGACCTGGCTATTTGATCTGGCATAGAATCATTGAAAGAAGTGTCATTATCTTGGTACCCGTTCCTTTGTCCAGACATTTCACTGTGATTTTCTCTTTCTCTCATCCCCATACCCTGTTGTCCCTCTCACAACAGGTGTAGAAGACATCGTGGCAATAATGATTCCTGAACCCAAAGGGAAGGAGATAGTAAGCCTGCTGGAGAGAAACATCACCGTGACGATGTACATCACCATCGGAACCCGGAACTTGCAGAAATACGTGAGCCGCACGTCGGTTGTGTTTGTCTCCATCTCCTTCATCGTCTTGATGATCATTTCCCTCGCCTGGCTGGTCTTCTATTATATCCAGAGGTTTCGATATGCAAATGCCAGAGACAGGAACCAGGTGAGTAGCAGAAAGTTAAAAAAAGAAAAAACTTAAAAATTATTACCAGAATAAGACATATTATTGTGTAAACTTTGGAAATCACAGAAAATACCAAGACCAAAACCAAAATTACCTATGATGCCCCACTCAGGATAAACACTGTTAACATTTACTGTATAGTTTTTCAGATCTTTTCCAAGTACACATATTTGGATGTTTTGCTAACATTGTTCTGTAACATGGAAGTGCTTTGTCCCACGTTCCTATTGCTCATTTGGGGGACAATTATTTACTTATTTAGGCACAAAATAAAGGGAGAAAGAGGAAGGGAGCTGAGATTATGCTAATTGTATCAACATAATGTGGAAAGAGCCAGGATGTCCTCCTTGTGAACAGAAGGAGACAAAAAATAAAAGGTATTTTGAAAAACAACTAATTTTGGAACAGACAGTGCCTACACATAGTATAAAATGAAAAAAGTACAAAATGGTATACGGTGAAAAGTAATCGCTTTCCCACGTTTGTCCCTCAATTAAGCAGTTCTTCTTGGAATATCTTCCCTTCCAGGGATATTTTATATGCTTACAAACGTGTGTGTGTGTGTGTGTGTGTGTGTGTGTGTGTGTGTTTTTAAACAAATGATAGCACACTTAACTCTGTACCTGTATTTCTCACTTCATCTTGGAGATCAATTCTTATCAACACTCAACCCAAGCTGCCTTCTCATTTCTAATAACTGTACAGGCAGACCTTAGAGATATTGCGGGTTTCATTCCAGACCACTGCAATAAAGCAAATATCTCAATAAAGTGAGTCAACAGGAATTTTTTGGTTTCCCAGTGCACATAAAAGTCATGTTTACCCTATACTATAGTCTATTAAGTGTGCGATAACATTGTGTCTAAAAAAACAAGGTACGTACCTTAATTTTTAAATATTGCTAAAAAATGTTAACCATCATCTGAACCTTCAACTCATCGTAATCTTGTTGCAATAGTAACATCAGATATCACTGATCACAGATCACCATGACAAATACAGTAATAATGAAAAAATTTGAAGTATTGTGAGAATTACCAAAATGTGACACAGAGACACAAAGAGCAAATGCTGCCGGAAAAAATGGTGCCGATAGACTCGCTCAATGCAGGGTTGCCACAAACCTTCAATTTGTAAAATACACAGTATCTGTGAAGGGCAATAAAACGAGCTATGCTATATAATGTTTTATTTTCTGCATATGCCGCATTTATTTAACCAGCTCCTATTAGTGGGCATGTTTTCTCTTACAAAAAAAACAAAACAAAACACACACACACACACACAAACATGTACACATGACACAGCAGATTTGTGAGTATATCTGTATGGTAAATTCTGGAAATTTTATAGTTAGGGCAATAGTATGTGTACTTTAAACTACAATAGATACTGCCAAATTGTCTGCCAGAAAGGTTGAACCAATTTATACATTAACCAACAATATAGTAATACTGTTTATACTAATATAAGTGACATTCATGCAGTAGTGTATTAATTTAATAACTGCTTATACTAACATATACAACAATATACTAATAACAAACACTATTTACGCATATCCTCACCAAATGAATGTTACAGCTTTTTTGTTGTATGCAATTTAATAAGTTAAAAATGGTATCACATTTTTCTTATCACAAATAACATGAAATAGAAAAAGGTGATTTTTTTTTTTTTCTATGAAGTATCTACTTACATTATTAGACCACTTTTCAATTGAGCTGTTGGGCACATCATACTGATGTGTATAACCTCTTTACTGGTCAGAGCAGTTAACCCTTTTTTGGGGAATCCTACAGATTCCATTTTTTTCCTCCCAAGTTGTCATTGTCTTTGATTTATCTTTGGAGCTTTTTACCATGCAGAAATTTGGGGGTGTTACATAACTGAATTTATCAATTTTTTATAGCTCCTGAGTTTTATATAATAACATCTTCTATAGCCCAAGACTATAGAAAAACAGTGTCTCATGGTTTCATCCACTGCTTTTTAAATTTCACTTTTATGATTAAAACTTTAATCTACAGAGAACTTATTTCAGTGTAAGGAATCAAGTACAGAGCCAACATTAGTTTTGTTTCAGATTGCCTACCAGTTTTTGTAACTGGTATTTATTGAATAATTAATCTTTTCCTTCTCGTATGCAGAACCCTCCTCCATCTAGCATATATTAAAGCCCCATATGTATTCCGTTCTATTTCTGTGCTCTGTAAAATGTAGCTTTAATCTGTCTATTCACATTCCAATATCATACCATTTTGAATGTTTTAGCACCATAATGTCTCATATCTGTCATGCTAATCTTCTTTCATTGCTCTTCCACTTTTTTCATGTTTATCTTTATATGATTTTAGAATCACTTTTAGCTAGGTTTTTAATTTATAGAATAATTTAGAAGGAGTTTATAACCTACTGATGTTGAATCTTCCTATCAAAGTGTAGTATATGTTTTCCCTTTATTCAACTATTCTTTTTATTCCCTAATAGCATTCAAAATATCCTCATTTAACCTTGCACATTCTTCTTATGTTTATTCCTAGGTCATTGTGTTGCAATTATAAATGAAATCCCCTTTTTCATATGGGAATTCTTTTGATTTTTTACGTTTCTTTTGTACATTATTATAATTTAGTAATTTATGTATTTTATCATTTATTATCATTTTAAATTATTATTATCACCTTAATAATAGTGATATTATATAGTATATATTAAATGCAGGCATGTTGTAAGAGCTCTGTATATATTTACATACTTAACCTACTTCATAGCCTTATAGCAGATAATTCTGTTTTCTTCATTTTACAGAGAAGGAAACAGAGGTTAAATAAGTTGCCCAAGGTCACACAGCCTGTTACTAATAGAGACAGCAACTAAACCAACAGCAAGGCTTCAGAGTGTATGCTCTTAACCACTACATTGTAGTACTTGTGATTGTTTGTATCAGTTTATCAGGATTATACTAATAATATGCAATCAATGATAATTTACTTCTTTGAAATTTTAAAACTCCTTTTTTTCTCTATTATCTAACTTCACTGACTTGTGCCTCCAGAATCAACTAAAGTAATAGTAGTAATAGTGAACATATTACTCTTCATTCAGTATTTAATGGGAACATTCTGAGTTTAATGGATCGTTTTTATCATTTCTCAATTTTATTATTTCCCCATGCAGTCTTCTAGGTTAAGATATATATTTAACATGTTGTATAAATGTCAACATAGTCCTGTTTTATTCAGAGTTTTAATCAAGAATGTACTTTTAATTTTAACAAATGCCTTTTCAAGAGCTGTAGTCTGGGTTTTCTCTTTTGATCTATTAATAGGAGTGGTTTAAATTAATGGATTTCCTAATATTGAACCATCCTGGATTTCCAGTACATGCTAATCCTCTAATGTGTGCTGGATTGTTTTGATCATATCTTATGTGGTACATTATTTATTTTTTACCTTGATATTCACATGTGAAATTTGTCCATAGTTTACATTTTTATCATGTTTAGGTAAGGGCTATACTGGTTTTATAAGAAGAATTTGCAAATTTTCCTCCATTTTCTATAGTCCAGAGTTTCAGTGTCCAACGTGGTAGTCACTAGCCATGCGTGGCTCTTTAAATTTAAATTAATTGTAATAAAATAAAATGTAAAATTCTGCTCCTCAGTCATACTAGCTACATTTCTAGTGGCTACTAGAATAGATACAGCATAGATAGGACACTTTCATCATCACAGAAAGCCCCATCGGACAGCCCAGCTCTAGAGCATTTTAAACAGCCCTGGAATTCGCTGATCCTTGAAGTATTATAGAACTTTTTGTAAGCCAATAAATTCTAAGTTGTTTTAGGAGGACAGCTCTTGGACTTTCTATTTATTTTATGGAAATTTGTCCGTTTAAATTTTCTGTAGCTTCTGGAACAATTTTTTTAAACATTTTTATTGCTTTTTTCTGACTCTCAAAATGATGCATATTTATTCTAATAGATTTTGGCAATCACAGAAAAATACTAAAAGAGAAGACAAAATCACCCATCACCTTACTGAATTGTTAATAATTGAGTACATTACCTTTCAGACTTTTAACCCCATGTGTGTGTATATATATATATATATATATATATATATATATTCAGTAAAATGTCATCATATATGTGTCTATGTATGCATGAGATACAGACACACATGTAAGACATGTAAGTTTGTGTTCTCTTTTTTTATTAAATGGTGAGCATTTCCCCCATCATTAAATAATCTTTGAAACATGATTTTTGGTGGCTACCTAGTAGTCGGGTTCCACCACTTACCACAAGTGGACAAGATACTTTATGCTTTAGTTTTCTAAACTAAATGGGAATATACCTTCTTTTTATAGTTATAGTGAGGATTAAATGGCTTAATGTATCTTATATTTTGAAGTCCCTGAACATGATCAATCACTTACAAAGCTCTCAATGAAGGGTGTCATTATTACTATCATATAGATTCCATAACGATTGCATACAATTCCAGCTTTGCCACTTTTACTGAATATTCTGGAATTTAAGTGGACAGTTATTACCAGTTAGACACAAGGCAGTGAAACTAGATATAGAACAAATATGTTCAGTTCCACTGGTTCCTAAGGGTTACATTTGAAGAAACCATACAAATATAAATCAGTTATTGCAAATACACTTTCCAGCTGATCCCACAATGATAAATAGAAATGGTACCCCTATCTTTTTGAGTCTATAATTAATCAAAGCAATCATTGGAAAATTGAGGTAAGGATGAAATTTTAGGCTTGACTTGGTTGAGTAACTATTTCAATTGCTAGTTCACTTTGTGCCGGTAGATAGAGATTGCATTTCTCTCCGGGCCTATGCATACTCTCTGATGTATGTGAAAAGCAAATTAGAAGTGGATGGGGTTTAAGTGTTTACTCTGCTCCCTTCCTTGAATTACAGGATGTTACCTTCAGGTTACTCAGTGAATTTGG